TAGCTTGCTCGGCATTGGATTCATCTTGTTTAAGGTAAGTAACTCCCCCCCCCCCCCCCTCTCTAGAGTGTTTTCCCCATCTAAAATGAGTTGATTCTGCCATAAAAATGACCCCATTAAGGCTTATATCATAATACAGTTGGGAAAAGAAATTCTCAATAATTCCCCCACAAATCAAACCCGTGATTGCGGAATGCATCATAGAAGGGTTGTGTCGTTTACAAACTGGACCGCGAAATGGTCTCCAATCTGCGATTATGCGGTCGCATAATGGACCGCAGAATCTGTTTCCAAAATTTTCCATGCTGATATGCGACAGATATGCAGTCTGCGAAATGAACATGAGGTTGCACATTGGACCGCAAAATGGCCCTATAAATCTAGCTTCTCCGGATTCAATATGCGATTGTTCTGCGGTCAGCGGAATGGTTCTGTGGATGCATAATGGACCACAGAAATGCCACATTGTGCAAATTTTCCACCAACTCCACTATGCATTATACAACCCAAAAAGTCTGTAACGCAGCGAACTTGCGAGCCACGAAATATATCTACAACCCTCCGAGCACATTAGCTTACTTTGGCACCATAAAAACTTAAAACCTTAGCGATCTTTTACGGGACCTTACATCCTCCCGCGCTTAGGATCATTCTTCCTCTAATGAGGGTTAGAGCCCGCCATAGCCCCCAATATCACTTAACTCTTCATTAACAGTAAGAAGTTCCAAAATTGGCTAACTCCTCAAATTTCCAAATATTTCGGCAGAGTTTTCTCTGTATTTGGGCCTATCCACCTATTAGCGAGCGCTAGAAACCAATCCTAACAGCATATTCATAATACAACAACGTATCATAGCATGAAAAAAATAACAACTATAACATCATAAGCATTCCATTACCAAAAGGGACATTTTAGCATAAACTGTACAAGTTAAACATAACCCATTGAAAGTAAACTTCTAACATTCCTTTAAACACAACTATCTGTTTATACAAACAAATGGGGGTATTTTATTTTCATATCTTCCTCAGCAACCCAGGTAGCCTCTTCAACTTGTTGGTTTTGCCATAGCACTTTGACGGAGGCAATCTCCTTATTCCTCAGCTTTCGAACTTGTCTATCAAGGATAGCAACCTGGATCACGTCATAAGACAATTCTTCATTAACTTCAATAGTATCTCCAACCACCTTCTTCGAAATTGACACACGAAACAACGGGTGCACTAAGGACATCTCTTGAGGTAACTCAAGATTATAGGCCACTCGACCAACCCTTTATGTGATTCTGTACGGTCGGATGTACTTTGGACTCAATTTTCCTTTCTTCCCAAATCGCATTATACCCTTCATGGGAGAAACCTTTAAGAATACCCAATCATCCTCTTTGAACTCCAAATCTCTGCGGCGTACATCCGATTAGGACTTATGGTGACTTTGGGCACTTTTCAAGCACTCCTTATTGATCTGGACCTTCTCCATAGCTAGATGTACGAGGTCTGGCCCTATTAGTTCTACTTCTACGACTTCAAAGCAACCAATGTGAGATCTACATCTCCTACCATATAGAGCTTTAAACGATGACATATAAATGCTGGCAAGATAACTGTTGTTGTAGAAAAATTCAATGAGTGGAAAATAATCATCCCACCATATAGAGCTCCGAACCGTGACATCTGAACGTTGGTGGCTGTATAAACTGCTCTGCTTGTCTATCAGTTTGTGGATGGAAAGATGTACTAAGATTCAGCTGGGTACCCAAACCATGCTGAAATTTCTGCCAAAGGTTAGAGATGAACTGTGTCCCTCGATCTGAGATGATAGAAACTGGAGTGCCATGCAACCTAACGATCTCTTTGATATACAACTGAGCATAATGTTTTGCTGTGTCGGTGGCCTTAACAGGTAAGAAGTGTGTTGATTTCGTGAGTCGGTCCACAATCACCCAAATCGAATCGAGCTTACGAGGCGTGTGAGGTAGACCTACCACAATGTCAATATTTATTATCTCCCATTTTCACATTAGAATTTCTATGTTCTGTGCCAAGCCACCTGGCTTCTGGCGTTCGGCCTTCACTTGTTGGTAGTTTGGGCACATAGCCACAAAATCCGCTATATCTATCTTTATGTCATTCCACCAGTAGATTTCCTTCAGATCATGGTACATCTTCGTAGAGTGTGAGTGCACGAAATACTTGGAACTGTGACCCTTGGCCATGATTCTTTCCCGAAGACCGCCCATAATAGGAGGACACAATCTCCCTTGGTACCTTAGCGTACCATATTTCATGCCAAGAGAAAAAGCCATAGTCTTGTGTTTGTGAATCCCCTCATTCAATTGCACCAATAACGGATGATCATACTATTTCTCCTTGACTTCCATTACCAGTTATGACTCGTCCTTACTCTGCACAATCACCCCACCTTCGCTAGAGTCATCAAGACGTACTCCCAAACATACCAACCGATGAACTTCCTTGGCCAACGACCTCTGGTATGCCTCCAAGTGAGCCAAACTACACATGGATTTCCGGCTAAGATCATCCGTCACAATATTAGCTTTACTCGGATGATATAGAATATCAGTGTCGTAGTTATTGAGTAACTCAAGCCATCTCCTTTGACTTAGATTTAACTCCTTCTACTTGAATATATATTGAAGACTCTTATGGTCCGCGAATATATCCACATAACCCCATACAAATAGTGAGGCCAAATCATCAATGCGAACACCACCGCCGCATGTTCTAAATCATGTGTCGGATAATTGTTCCCATGGTCCATGAAAGCTGCATGAGCGTTCGTTAGCCCAAAAACATCACCAGAAACTCAAAGTGCCCATACCGGGTCCTGAAAGTTGTTTTCTAAATATCCTGCTCCCTAAACTTCAATTGGCCGATCTTAAGTAAATCTTGGATAAATGCTTAACGCCTTGTAACTGATCAAACAAGTCTTCTATCCTTGGCAGCGGGTACTTATTCTTGATTGTGACCTTATTGAGCTGTCGATAGTCAATACACATACTCAGTGCCACATCCTTCTTCCTTGCAAAGAGAACCGGTGCGGCCCAAGGCGACATACTTGGTTGGATGAAACCTTATTCTAGCAAATCCTTCTACCGATCATTTAGTTTCTTCAGTTCTGGTGGAGCCATTCTGTAGGGTGGATTGATATAGGTTATGTCCCTGGCATCACATTGATCCTAAAGTCAATTTCCTTGTCTGGTGGGACCTAGGAAGCTCATAAAGAAAGACCTCCGAAAATTCATTCATAACTGGCACGAACTCAAGTGTTAGTACCTCAGCCTCTGTGTCCGTCACTCGGACCAAGTGGTACATACATCCCTTGATGTTCATCTCTGCATCCTTAAGGTAAGAAACAAACCCGCCCTTTGGCAGAACATGATTCCTTCCACTCAATGACTAACTCATTTGCAAACGCAAACCTAATAGTTCCTGTTCAGAAATAAAGATTAGAAAAACATGAGTGAAGTCAGTCCATCCCTATTATCATATCAAAATCCACCATTGCCAATTAAATGAGGTCGGCCGTGGTGTCTCGACCATGTATGGTTACAATACAATCCCTATAAACCTGCGTGGCCATAATAAACTCATCAACTACAGAAGATACATAGAGATGACGAAGTTGTTCATGTTCTATCTCAAATTCCATAGAAACATAAGGAGTGGCATACGACAATGTGAAACCTGTATCTATAAGAGCATACACATTATGAGATTGGACATTTGTTATCCCTGTGATGACATCTAGAGAAGCCTCTTAACTCTAGTGGCACCTCATAGCATATAACCTACAGGGTCCTCCCGAACCCTGTACACCACCTCTAGTTGTACCACACCCGGATTTGGTGTTGGAGTACCTCAAGTTGGAGGAGGTGTTGTAGAAGTAGTAGCTACTAAACTGGCCGGTTGCGGCATATCCCTACCAGCACTTATAATGGGACGAAGGAGATTTCTCTGAATATGGCCCCTAAGACCACACTTGTAGCATAGGAGATGGTTCATATAGCAGACTCCTGAGTGCATCTTTCCACACCTAGGGCATGAGGGCCGCTGCTGCGGCTGAAATCTCCTGCCTGATTGACCCTGCTGATAAGATCCTATGTTGCCCTGACTAGGCTTGAAGTGACTCAACTGTTGCTGACCGGGCCCTGATGGCGGATCATTGGTTGAAGACTGAGCAAAGGACGGTGTCGGTCCAGATGTTACTCCCGGAACATCACCTTTCCTCCAATATCACCACTGATAGTACCACCAAAGATGCCCTCGAGTCAGGCCTTTTTGTTACCACCTTGCTTCATTCTGTTCTTTAATTTTCGGGTCTCTTAGGCTTGAGGAAATGCCACCATCTTCCCATAGTTCATATCAGAATTCAAGGAGACTAAAGTGGCCTCGTTGATAATCAAAGGGTTAAGGCCCTGCATAAACCTACAAATGCCAGCCTCCATAGTGGGCAACATGTAAATAGCATGCTTGGAAAGAGCTGCAAACCACATATTGAAGTCTCACACACTCATACTACCTTGCTTCAAGTTCTGAAACTCGGTGGTACGGGTTGCCTAGTCTCGGTAGGCTAGAAATGATCCATGAAAGAATTTGCAAACTTGTTCCACTTGGTTGGAGAGCTACTCTCCTCACAAGACTTGTTCCCCAATTAAAACAATGAGTACGCCACTTCCTTTTGGCGATAGGAGGCCAATGCCACTACTTCTATCTCAGCGGCACGCATCATACGGAGCGTCTTGTGCATCTCATTAATAAATACATGCGGGTCCTCCTCGGGCATAGTACCTATGAATACCAGAGCATCCAACTAAAGGAATCGATTTACCCTGAAACTAGCAGAATCCCCTTTTTGGCTAGAGGAACTAGGTGTAGCATTCAATCCCTAGGCCTAGGAAGCCACTATCTGGGTCAACAATTGGATGGATCCCCTAAGGTTCCAATAAGAAACACTAGGGCCGAGGGTTGAGGCTGGAGGTGAAACTGGAATATCACGTTAAGGAGGAATCTATAAATTCTCAGTAGGTGTAGTAGAAACAGGGGGTGTTGTAGTTGGGGGAATGTCTTTATCCCTTGGGTGCTCCCCCGCAACATCGGGCAGCTCATCAACTACCACTCCTGAGGTGGCATTGGCCCTTTGACCACACCTTGCCTTCTTCTTATGCGCCATGTGCTAAAAATTAGAATAATGACAAGTTAAAAGGCAAAAGTATCTTACAATCAGCTTTATCACATGATTTAGAATATCAAAGAAGGGTGTCATTCCTAAATGCCCAAGTAGCCTCCTAATTATAGATATGGTCAACTTCACACCGATAATAAGGACTATACTAGACACAACTCTAAGATATCCTAGGACACTTTAAAACCTTAGGCTTTGAAACCAAGCTTGTAACGCCCCGGTCTTTGGGGGGGGAGGGGGCAGGACCTGTGCTCAACTGAGCTACCCCAGTCAAACAAGACTACTTTGTGCTTATCTTTCATCCTTGCCCATGAATAGTTTAAGGCTAAATATCAAGAGTTAGACAAATGAGAGAGTAAAATGTACAATACCAATTTCATGACTTATAGAAGCTTCATTTAAGATTAAAAAAATATTACAAATTCATATTTAGAAGTTGGAATGTCCGACAACTACAACAACATTTTTAATTTGTTTTCCCAATCAAATTACAAACCACATCATATCTACGGAGCCTCTAAGAGAACATGAGTAAGAATATGGAAATGACAGTGACAAGGCCCCTGCTATACCTATAAACACTATGTACAAGAATCAAAATGACACAAAGCCCCGATAAAGAGTAGGGCTCATCCAATCAGCTGAGAAGAGGGTATGATGCTATCAACGATTAGTGCCACCTGATGAGGAACCATTTGCATCCATTAAAGAAGCTCCCCCGACAAAATGAACCTTAGTACGTATGGAATAGTATTAGTATATAAAGCTAAATACCCTCTCATGGAACAGAATGCCAACACAAAATGAGATAAACATGGAAACAATACGAAAATCAATAATAATTAAATGCCAAATTAAAACAAAAAAACGTTCAAGTAAGCATTAATATTTTGGTTGGGAGATGCCTAGTACCGACACACCACCATGTACGTGATATGGATTCTGATCTCTACTCGATCGGCTAAACCGTCACACCCTAATGTGTGAGGGTTGACATAGAACTACGGAACCACCACCATGTGCATGGCATAATAGGATATGCATGGATTACTAAGATATCAACAAAGCCAGTCCCAAGGACAACTTTTCTCTACAAATATCCTTATCCATCTTGACAATTGTGCGAAGCACGATTTACAATAGTTCATGGATTATTTCGCTGGATATCACTAGATTTTGATGCACAATGAACATGCTAAGAGGACAACCTTCACCTCACATGGGAAGTTTATTGCTACATGGTCATGCCATTTGGCCTCAAGAATGCGGGTGCCACCTACATGAGGGCCATGAGGACCCTTTTTCATGATTGGATCCACAAGGAGATTGAAGTATATGTGGATGACATCATCATCATGTCACGGAAGAGTGCATATTATTTAAATGACTTGAGGAAATTGTTTGAACAGTTTCCAAGGTACAATTTAAAGATGAATCCTACGAAATGTGCATTCAAAGTTCATGCGGGAAAATTATTGGGTTTCATCGTCAGTAGGAAGGGGATAGAGTTGGATCCTTCAAAGATCAAGGCTATTAAACACTTTCCTTATCCCAAAAGCAAGAAGGACGTAATGAGGTTCCTCAGAAGATTGAATTACATCAGCAGGTTCATAGCCCAGTCAATGATAATCTGTGAACAAATTTTCAAGCTATTAAAGAAAGTTTCTGCCACAAAATGGTTAGAAGAATGCAAAAAGGCTTTCGACAGAATCAAGGAGTACTTGTCTAGTCCGTCCGTGTTGGTTCCTCCTTAACCTGGGAAGCCCCTACTGCTATATTTGTCCGACTTGGATAATGCATTTGGATGTGTGTTAGGTCAACACGACGAGACTGGAAAGAAAGAAGATGCTATCTACTACCTAAGCAAGAACTTCATGCCATACGAAGCCAGATACACCTTGTTGGATTGGACGTGTTGTTCTTTAACTTGGATCGCTCCGAAGTTAAGATATTACTTGTCGGGGTATACCACATATCTGATATCCAAACTTAACCGACTCCAATACATTTTCCATAAGTCGATACCTACAGAAATGTTAGCAAAATTATAGATTCTTGTCAGTGTGTTCTACATTATGTATGTGACACAAATATCTATTA